ATAAATTCTGCTCTTGTTAACCAACTCAGAAAACCGCCTGATTTCCTGGTATCCAATAGCTTGTCTAATCTCAGGTCTCAAACCGTTCACAAACTTGAGGCACTTAGACCTCTCAGCATTACCAGTATTATAGTGAGGACAAAATTTGATCAACTCCTCAAATTTCGCCGCATACTCAGCAACCGTCGAATTACCTTGCTTCAACTCAAGAAATTCGATCTCTTTCTTCCCCCGCACATCCTCTGGAAAATACTTCTCCAGAAAAGTTTCTCTAAACAAATCCCACGTAATCACAATATCATCTTCCTCAAATCTTTGGCGAGTATTACCCCACCAATCTTCAGCTTCTTCTTCGAGCATATGAGTCCCAAACTGCACCTTCTGTGCATCCGAGCAATTCATAACTCGAAAAATCTTTTCCACAGCTTTCAACCAAATTTGTGCCTTGTCCGGTTCATGAGTTCCCTTGAAGACCGGAGGGTTATTCTTTTGGAATTTCCCCAAAGCACGGAATCCATCATCAGCATGATTCCTCACATTCACATTGGCCGGAGGATTCTGCCCAATTGCCCCCGCCAATCTCGTCAATGCCTCCGCAATCGCTTCGTCGTTCCTTCCTGCAACCATCTTACTAATTCCAACCACAGAACCACGTAAGAACAACCAATATTGATAATGCAACACACGCATATCAATAACACACAGGAAGAAAACACTCTAACAACTAGGCCGGACGGACCGACCTGCTCTGATACCACTATTGTAACACCCCTTTCTATACCCCAAATAAATGCATATAAAACAATTAAGCACATACAAGTTATCAGAGTAAAAAGGTTTTATAATAAGGTATAAAAGAAGAATGCCACAATTTCACCAATAAAACACTTTCACAATTTGCTCCATAAAATATGTAACATTTTCAATTTAAGCGGAAGATAAAATCATTTGATCGTTTTCAAAATATTAATCCACGTACACATAAGCTATCTAAATTAATATATCATATCAGTTAGATTTACAGAACCACATAAGCTGATACATCGCAATGTATCACAAAAGAATGACTATACTAGTCTAACTACCCGGTGTTACATATCAGAGCAGTAGACTCAAAAGAATGAAGACTATTCTTCACAAAAGGACTCCAGCATCCTAATCTGCAATGCCTCATAGAGCATTATAAAACAGCAGAAGGGTGAGAAATATAACCATAATAATCAAAGCATAAGATTACGTATATATATAGGTATCATATAACACATATTCACATTTCTCACCACACTTCGTTCTCATAATCATAATCATATCACGTTCACATATATCAGCATTATGAACATTCACAAGCACATCCCTTCATGCTTAATTTCACAATCATTCACAAGCACATTTATACCACAACAATATTATGAAATGTGACTCAACATATCCAATGCAACTCAATGCTATGCGGTACCGACATTAGTTATCTTTTTTCGGTTTTCACTCTAACCGGGTCCACCCTTCTAGACCGATAACTTGTTATCATTTTTCGGTTTTTACTTTAAACCGGGTCCACCCTTCTAGACCGATAACAACCAAGCCCGTCCCCTAGGCTTCAAACCCACCCTTCTAGGTTTGGGACAAGCCACTAGTTTCCACGAAACTAACAGACATTGCCTCTTGACTGAATGATGCATGTACAATCAACCAATCACAATAAATGCACTTAAGACCGTTCCCGCGTCTTAATCCCATGCATTCGAATAATTCACCCCTTCGAGAATTTCATCATGATTGCACATACAACATATATCAAACATTTATCAATGTATTCATTTCACACATCATCATATTCAACCACAATGCACACATATCACATATGTTCCCATGCATTCACACAACAATCAAACATTCACAACTCATCAATTAATACACACATAATCATCATTATGTTCTCATGTATTTTAACCGATTACAATTAATCATTCATATCACAACTCTAGGATTCACGCCCGAAGGCTACCCACAGCACATGTTATCATGATAGTTCACATACTCATTCATAACATAGAAGTATAAACATATGCGAATCAACCAAACAATCACCATTTGGATAACACAGCAAAGAAAATATACTGTCACATTCGCCTTCATTCGCCTGGCGAACCTTCGCCTGGCCTTCGCCTGGCGAACTCTCTCAGCGAACACTCGCTAGGCTTCGCCTGGCGAGACTTCCCAGCGAGCCCAAGTCAGTAGCTACTGACTTCATTCGCCACCATTTGCCAGCACCTTCGCTGGGCGAACCTTCGCTGTCCCACTTCGCCTGGCGAACCCACCAGCGAAGTCTACTGGGACTTAAATATAATTATTCGCCAACATTCGCTAGGCTTCGCCTGGCGAAGCTTCGCCTTTGCTCGCCTGGCGAGAGCCAGCGAACCTGCGCAGAACAGAATCCTATTCTGTCCCTCCTTCACCAATCCATCATCAACCCTCTCTTACACATCCAAATCAGTATAAACAGCATCAATACATGTTACCCGACTATTCTACGGCATTATTACTCGATTTCAACCGATTAAATCATCAATCTACCGATTATCCAACATTTTGCCCTAAATGGAAAGTGATGGAAACTCCACTAAAACCCTAACCCAACATACATAACATCATACAATGATCAAATAGAAACATTTCTCACCCTTACCTCGATTAATCGGAGTTTTGATGTTGGTTCTTGATGATTTCCACTTTTCTTCTTCTTCTTCTCTTCCTCTCCTTTCTTCTTCTTTCCTTTTTCTTTCCAAAATGTTTTTCTATCTTTCTTTTCTTTTCTTTCTCTCTTATATATTCCTTTATTTTCCTTCCTTCCAATTTCCTTCTCAATTCTCTATTAATTCCAATTAATAAAAATTAATTCCAACATTAATAAAAATCCCACTAAATCAATTAATTACTATAATTAATTATTTAATGAAATTTGGGCTGTTACACCCCCCCCCCCCCAAAAAAAAAAAAGTTTCAAATTAGATGCCTCATTTACCACCATAAAGGATATCAACCCAAGGCTTCCTTGATCATACGGCTTGCAAACCTTCTTCCATGCCACAGTAACAAGCTTAGATTTCATAATATCCTCTAACCAGATGAAATTCTCATAGATTCTCTCTATGTACCTGATCAGAGACACATAACAAGAATACACGAAGAAGATATGCACAAGCATGAGAAAAATTGTGGCCTTCACTAGTTGGACTCTACCAGCAAAGCTCAAAAGGGAAGCCTTCCAAGAACCAAGCCTAGTCTTAATCTTGCCAAAAATAGGTCTCAATAAAGAAGATTTGGAATTACCTTTGAAGATGGGAACTCCAAGGTATGAAAAGGGAAGAATATCATGCCTGGAGCCTAACATAAGGAAATTTTTATGAAGCCTAGCCTAAAAATCTTAGCCGGTATAAATAGTTGACTTAGCAGGGTTCACCCATTGGCCCAACACTTGAGCATACATGGTAAGTAGGTACATCAAAGTCTAAATAGTTTTCTTGTCTCCTCTGCAGAATATCATCACATCATTAACATACAACTTAGAAGGAACTTCAAAAGCTCTAGGGCAAAAAGTTAGTTTGATCTTTTTCTGAAGCACCATATTTAAGAGGCTTTTATTCAAGACTTCTTCAACAATGCAAAAAAGCAAAGGAGCTAGAGGCTCTCCCTGTCTCAACCCTCTCCCACAACCAAAATATCCATTTGGCTTGCCATAGACTGAGATTGAGAGAGTAGCTGAATTGAGGATAAACCAAATCCAACTTTAAAATTTGTCATTGAAGCCAAACCTTTTTAGAACCTGCATCAAGAATAACCAATCAATAGATTCGAAATCCTTAGTTATGTCCACATCCATTGCAAGGCTTACCCTAAAAGCTTTCTCGTGCAACAAGTTAATTGCCTTAGAAGTGAGCCCAATACATTCTTTAACTCTCCCTCCCTCTACAAAACCTTTTTTCTCCTTGAAAATGATAAGAGGGACGATAGATGCCAACGTATATGCAAGAATCTTGGATATAATCTTGAATTTGATGTCGGCCATTGTAATAAGCATATACAACTCCAATTTATCTGAATTGCTACTTTTAGGAAAAAGAATCAATGTGTTTGCATTATAGTTAGGCATGATCCAAAATTCCTTGAATAGTTGAATCAAAACATTCACCACATCATGTTGGATGAAATACCAATAATGTTGAAAAAAGAATGCCCCAAAACCATTAGGACTAACCCCCCTACTTGCTTAGTTTGAACACAACCTCTTTAATCTCTACGTAATTAGGAATTTGGGTTAAAATGTGATTGATGTCATTGTTCAAGATGTTGGGAATAGTATAATTCATGAGATTTTGATCCTGCAGAATTGAGTTGGAAACCATCGAAAATAGTTGACCACATGGTCCCCAATCACAACTTGATCAAAGATAAACACCTTATCAATCTTTAGGGAATTAATGACCTTAGTGGTTTGCTTAATTTTGGCCATTCTATGGAAGAAATTGGTATTCCTGTCACCTTTCAAATGCCAATTTCGCCTAGCCTTCTCCTCCCAAAAAAAGGTTTTCTTTGTGTAAAGCATTTTCCAACTCTCTCATGGAGGCCCTCTTCTGCTATCTCAGGCCCTCAGAACAATCCTCCCTTTTCTTGTTACCATCTTTGACTTGAATGCCTCAAATTTAGACCCGGTTGAAACCAATGTGTCTGAAGATATATGTCCAAAGTTTTATTTTATCATCTTATTGAATGTTTTTCTTAAAATAAATCCTTTATAAAGTTATTTAGAGCATAATCAGTATAGAGTATTATTATGCCATACATTCCAATATTTTACCTAAGTTTACACATTAAAATTTTATCAATGTTATCAAGCATTTCTATAACACTTGTTTACAAATATGATATGATACAAAGAAAAAAATGCATGACAAACAGCACTTGTTTACAAATATGACACAATAGAGAAAAATAAACAATGATTATGCATGTGTAATGGTACCTTTCTTATTATAAGTGTAAGCTTTTGCAAAGTAGAGGAATAATGTAAACCCCACCACACTTAACCCAGCAAGAAGCCAATAAAAGTAATCAAAATGTGCCTTGTTGATGTTGTCACAAAACCAACTTTCATCACCGTTTTTGCTACTAAGATTTTCAATCATAGAAATGAGAAAGCTACTAAGAAAGCTTCCAACACCAACAATACTCAAGTAGAGTGCGAGTCCCATGCTTCTTAGTTCATTTGGGACTTGATCATAGAAAAATTCTTGAAGACCAACCATAGTAAAAACTTCAGAAACTCCAAACAAAAAGTATTGAGGAAACAACCACCATATACTCATTGGAACAATTGCATTTGGATCATCAACAAGGCCATACTCTTGTGCTGTTTCTAGTCTTTTAGTTTCAACAAACACTGCAGTTACCATTGTAAATATGGATAAAAATATTCCAATTCCAATCCTTTGAAGCATTGTGATCCCCGAGGGTTCTCCGGTGATAGCTCGTGCTGTTGGCACGAATATGCGGTCATAGATAGGGCTGAAGAGAATAATGGCGATACATTTAACTGATTGAAGTGAAGCTGGTGGTATGTCGAAACCAGGAAATATTGTTCTCTCCATAGATTTCCCTTGTTTGGTGAAGAATGTAGAAAGTTGAGCAAAGATAATACCGTAAACCAAAGATGTAGCCCAAATTGGAACCAACCTTAGTATTGCCTTTGCTTCTTCCACCTCAACAAGGCTACAAGTATTACCTTCTTTGGATCCCTTTGGGGTTATCAATGCCTTGTTGAGGAAGCTATCGATGTAGAAAAATACAAATCAGGTCAAAATAGTCATAATCTTTTAGAGCTTTTGTTAGAATTGAAAAACAAGCGTAAATTATAACTGTTATTCTTACCTGAATTGTTCAGAACTTTGACGCAAAAGCATTCCATCATATTTGTCTCCAATAGTCTTGTTTGAAAGGGTAGTTCGCCAATTTCTTGCAGCAGCAACGAATACGCGACCAATTCTAAGAAAAGGGCTAGAGTCATTATCCTTAATGTTGAACCTATAGGTCATTGTTCCAAGCAAGAAAACAAGCAAGCCAATGATCATTAAAACACAAGGGATCCCAAATCCAAGAACCCAACTATAGTTATCTTGAATATAGGTCAAGACCGTTATTGCAACCGTGGCACCTGCAATCATCGTAAAATACCACCAATTAAAGAATGAGCTTCTGGCTCTGTGCTCCTTAGGATGTTCTTCGTCGAATTGATCCGCGCCGAAAGCTTGAACACAAGGCTTATGTCCACCTTGTCCAATGGCAACAAGATAGAGTGAGATGAAGAATAAGATAACTTGTGAATGTTGGGAGCATAATATGAATTTAGTATCAACTTGGCATTTAGATTTGGTGAGGGATGGAAGCATAGCTGATAATGTTAACAAAACCAGTCCCTGTTATTCATATTAAGCCAATGATCATTATTTATATTTTTTTGATAACATTTTATAATAAATTTTTAAAATTTAATTCTACAATACATAAATTAAACAACCACGTTCAAGTGTAAATGCATAAGTTTAAAATTGAGATAGTTACAAATTTTCTAACAACTTATACCATAAGAAAATAAGTTTAAAAAATTAAACAATTCATTTATCTACTCTCTCTCTTCCATATTCTCTGTTTCTCACTCTATAAAATACAACAAAAATTGAAAATAAATAAAGAAATAAAAAGAGTGAGTTAGGAATAGAACTAACCAATATATAGATGAGAGAAGCGATTATGATAGTGCGGTAGCGTCCGAGGAAAGAATCAGCGACGAAAGCACCTAAGAGAGGAAGAAGAGAAGCTGTTCCAGACCAAACATTTACATTCTTAGCAGCTGTTGCAGTTGTCTGTTTGAGTGGTCCTGTTAGGTATGATATCAAGTTCCCCATTCCATAATATGAAACTCTCTCTGCTACTTCCACAGCTAAACATGATAACATTTACAAACTCAAAAAACAGAACAAATAGATGAATTTGTAGTTTATTGTATGAAAATACTACCTATGATGAACCAAGCGGATCTCCAATAACCAGATTTGGATCTAACGGCTGCTTGTCCACGATAGTCAACGGCACCATCCACAAGAGTGGTTTCAGCTTCTAACAAAACTTCGTTCCAATTCTCCATCAAGTCGATGTTGATTCACTTTTTCTTCTTCTTCACTAATAAAGATGGGTTTTTCTTTTTCTTTTTCTTTTTAGAGAACAGAGAGTGAAACTAAAAAATGTTTTTATGTTGTCTACACGATATAAACGAGTACTAAAACTATTGGAACTCAATGTACAATGGCCCACTCTACAATTATAATATCTACTAATTTTATTTTTATAAAAATTAGTAGAAGACTTGTACGTGTGCATCACTCAATCGTATCTTAAATAATAAAGTATGAATTCAAAAAATATCAATCAAGTTGAAATATTCTTATTCTTAAACTGCGTATTAAATTAAATTACGCATACACCAAAAATAAGGTTGTGATATGTAGCGTTTCATACTTAAAACAACATTGTACCAAAGTAATTTTTCGACAAATTAATAAAATAAAATATGCTACTTACTTGTTGATTATATATTAGAAAGCCCTTACAAATCATTGTGTCTGGAAAAATACTGATGATTATGGACTTACTAAATGAATATGTGTAGATGAAAACATAATAAAAGAAGATTATATGGACCTGAGCATTTACACCAAATGAATATTTTTTATCACATTCAACAAACAGAAAATATTTATTCACAATCAAAAGAAAATTTAAAATACAAAAAGAATAAGAATACCAATAATAGTATACTAATAATAATATGTATCAATGAAGCAATTGATGTCCTGATTGGTATAGGTATAGAAAGCTCATCCTGGTTATAATAATGATGCAAATAAGATAACAAAACTTGATCCTCGAATGGACTGTTCTTAATTTCAAGTTTCATCAAATTAGACCACCATTTTAGTACATACTTAGGTTTGTGTCAGTATCTTCTGACAAAGACAAGTGACTGTATCCCGATCAATTTCTTATACCTTCCAATGTATTTAAAATTTCCTTTGCATGTTGTCATCCAAATCCTTATAAATAAGAAAGCAAAATATGAATCAAACAATTGCTTCCCTAGAACATTAAATTATGAATCAAACAATTGCTTACCTAGAACATTAAATTATGAATCAAAATCCTTATAAATTCTAAACAAATTTGAGATGAAACTAAGTTTTTGATATTCATTTAATGTTGATTGACAACATCTATAGAAGTTTATCAGAATATTTTATAGCTAGCAGCACAAGCAATACTCTTTATAGTGATGTATGGTTGTACTATCCAAAAACATAGGTACGAAAAGTTTAGATCTACTAATAGATAAGATTAAAATAGATTTTTGCACACAGATTAAAAAAATATAATAATATTATTATAAAATATTGTATTTTTACTAAATTAGTTTTATTAATGTGTTAGAAATAGTGTCTAGAGTAATAACTATATGACATAATTGAAAAAAAGTAATTATTACTATATTGAAAAGTAAAAATGACAGTTATTTTAATACAAAAATTTTTCTTCAAAATGATAGTCATTTTGAAACCGAGAAATTTTTCTTAAACTCATTTATTTTGTCCTTCACAAATCCAATAATGCTACTATAGTTGAAATTTGAAAGTTGATCTTTTGAATAAGGTGGAAATAAAGTGTAATCATTTTTTACTCTATTCAGCAATACAAAAGTTAGCTGCTTGTTTGTACATTTCTAATGCATGTTCATTTTCAAATTCAAGTTCTTCCATTATTCAATTTTAATTGAAATATGTTGATAAATATTTTATTTTTATATTTAATTATTTATATTTATTGTCATTTATTTTCTTTTATTCTCTGTTAAAGAAAAAATTAAGTATTTTTATTATATACATTATACAAACCAGCCTTTAGTTGAGAAATACAATTATAATAGCTTTTATTTATTTCTTCCAACATGGTATCGAGAGTTCTGCTTAGGGTTACCGTAAAATTTTCTACAACTAGTGAGGTTTGACCCGCTTTTTTACCCGATCCGATTCACATACACATTTAATCTTTTATGGCGAATAGCCACAACAACGGAGGTGGCCGCGGAAACGGCGGTGGTCGCGAAAATGGTGAACGAGAGGAACCGTCAGTGGTCACAAACAGTGGCTATAACGACGGCAATAATGAAGACATTAACATTGTTTTTGGCAGTAATAACGGCAACAATGAAAACATGGACATTGTCTTTGGTGATAGTTATTCCAGCATAGGCGGTAATGATCAAGAGGGTTCCTCATACTCCCTCAAGGTCAATATCCCTAAACTGAATGAGAATAACTATAATGAATGGGTTCAAACCGTTCGGTTGGTGTTGGATAACAAAGGGAAGCTTGGTTTCTTAACAGGAGCAGTAGCTGAACCGACATCAGGAAATCCTCGTTACAAACAATGGAAATCTAAAAACTCTTTGATTATTGTGTGGCTGGTAAGCTCCATGAAAACTGGAATAGGTAAGCCTTACATGTTTTTTCCTTCCGCAAGGGATGTGTGGGAAGCTGTTAAGGAAATATGCTCTGATATTCAAAAATCCTCCCAAATTTTTGGTTTAAAATCAAAGTTATGGCATGCGAAACAAGGTGACAGTGTTTTATTTCTCAAGAGGCAAGAAAATGATCGTGTATTCATGTTTCTCGTTGGGCTCAATAAAGACCTTGATGAGGTAAGAGGTAGGGTTTTAGGAAAAATACCATTTCAAACTCTTCGTGAAAATTTTGCAGAAATAAGAAGAGAGGAGGCACGAGAAGGAATTATGATGGGCAAGACACCACGAAGCTCTGAATCTGAAGGTTCAACTCTGGCTACTAGGAACCTTGACGAAGGAAGAAGGTCAGATAAAGTTCTTTGGTGTGATCACTGCAAGCGCGAATGGCATACACGTGAAACCTGTTGGAAGCTCAAAGGTAAACCTCTGAACTGGAAGAAGAAAGGTGGTCGTGCATTTCAGGCTAGTAATTCTGATCAAGGGAAGCAATTCCCTACAACTCAGCTTCCATTTACTATGGAACAACTAGACAAACTGCACAAAATCCTCGAGTCTCCAACCCCTTCTTGCTCTATAACAATAAAAGGTAATTTTGCACTTCTTTGTGTCAGTCCCAGTCATACTTGGATAGTAGATTCAGATGCCTCTGATCACATGACAAGTGAATCTACTTTGATCTCTTCATATAGTCCATGTGCAGGTAATCAAAAAATAAAAATTGCAGATGGCTCTTTTTTAGCCATTGTAGGTAAAGGGTCAGTTGTGTTGTCTCCAATGTTAACTCTTAAAAATGTCCTTCATGTTCCAAACTTATTGTGTAATTTAATGTCCGTCAATAAATTAGGCCAAGATATAAATTATCAAACTATTTTTTTCCAATCTCACTGTGCCTTTCAGGATTTGAACTCGGGGAAGATGATTGGCAGTGCTAAGGAGAGTGGAGGACTCTACTACCTTGATATTGGATCTGTATCACAACTACCTTTAACAATAAGTTCCTGCTTTGAGTCTTTTCTGTTTTGAATAATAAAGATGACAACATTATGGTATGACATTTAAGGTTAGTGTTAGAACACAGATTGGTTCTTAATAATTACTCTTTGTTTTGATGATAACTGTTAGGAAATTTATATTTAAGAATTATATACTCTAAAATTTGTTTGAGAGTTTTACTGCAGATTAAAATTATATTAACTCTCTAGAAGCAAATCTGCCTTGAATACAAGAAGCTATTCTGACTCTGAAGCGCCAGATGCACCTTACAGAAGAATCTGTTTTCTCCTTACAGAAGATCCTGAGCGTAGTCTCCAGAAGGATCTGAAGCAAGAAGCTCCAGAACATTCTGAGTCAGAAGCATCTGAAGATAGTCAGAAGCATCTGAAGATAATCAGAAGCATCTGAAGCTGAAGCATCAGAAGTATAGAAGAATATTGACTGAAGAGTTTCTCAAAGCATTAGTCTACAGAAGTTTTTGAAAGTACCTACGCTGCCATGTACTGAAGTTCTGTGTCAAGATGCTCTGATGATCAACACGCTAGAAGCACACACGCTGCAGAAGACTCTGATACAGCATAGTTCTGAATCTCATCAGAAGACTCTGATCCATTCAGACTCTAAAGAACTTGCTGAAACTGAAGAAGTATTTTCAAGAATATATCCGTTGGAACTATTCAACGTCTCTTTCCTTATTTGTGCTAGACACACTTACACAGACAAAAAGGATTTTTCTGTGCCATCTATTTCAAGGAAAGGTCAGTGCATGTGAAGACAAAAAGGCTCAGACCTTTTGAGACTCTCTTTTCAACGTTCAGCTTGCATGATTCAGCTGCCTATAAAAGGAGATCTTCACTTCATTCTTCAGTTACACACTTGCTGAAAAGAAATCACAATATTCTATAAGCTCTCATTCTTATTCTTCATAGAATCTCATTGTACTTAAACTTAAGAGAAAAATCACTGTTGTGATTAAAGCTTTATAGAAGCATTAAAAACTCTTGTATTTAATTTACATTGTTTGTAAAGGATATTTCTTAAGAGGATTCAGTGTGAATCAGTAGCTCTTGAGAAGACTAAGAACTGTAGTTCTTAGGTGATACTATTGTAATCAGTTTGATTTAATAGTGGATTAAGTCCTTGTTGAGAAAGGCAAATCACTCTGGAAGGGTGGACTGGAGTAGTTGTTTAACGAACCAGGATAAAAATAATTGTGTGATTATTTTCAAGTATTAATTTTTCATACTTATTCAACCCCCCCCCCCCTTCTAAGTATTATCTCACCTTCAGTTGGCATCAGAGCTCCGGTTCTGAGTGTGCTATCACTTAACAGTGTCAGTAAAGATCTAGAGAGAGATATACTTTAATCAATATATTTATTTGTTATCATGGCTGATAATTCAATGTCAAATATCAACAATAAATATGAAGAGAGGGATAGGATCAGTACCAAACCTCCAATGTTTGATGGAGAAAAATTTGACTATTGAAAAGACAGAATAGAAAGTTTTTTTCTTAGGTATGATGCTGATCTTTGGGATTTGGTCATTGATGGATATGAACATCCTACTGGTGAGGAT